GCTTGAACGATTCTTGGTTCAGGGCACCAGACACTGCACATGGCACAACAGTTCATTGCCGACGCGTTTCGCAACATAGACTATAGCATCATTAGGACTAAGCAAAGTACAAATGAATGCTCGAAGGCACATGTCCAACATGCGGACAATACATTACAATCAAAATGTTGTTAAACTGAAAGGCCAGAGTGTTAACCAACAAACCACTGTGAAGTTCTCATTAAAACGATCAGAACAAATTTGCATGGCCCCCCATCCCCCAGCTTTCGCTAATATCTGCAGAAGATGTGTATACATGGCACTTCCGGTTTTTCATTGCCAGCATGACTCGTTTATCGGCATACCTAGTTTAGAATGGTCTTTGTATATAATAGACACATTAGTCTGACTGAAAGATTATCCTTCAGTATTCGTATGTTGGGCAATACCGGAGTTGTCACCCTGTCTAAGATGGACTGCAGAAACGTACTCTTTTATCCTGATGTTCAATTTTCGGTTGGTCTTTACAATGTGCATCTTGTCGCAGTCTATGCATCGAACTTTGTATGCATCATTTAACACATCTTCAGGGCTACAATTGGGCATGTACTTTTATATCAAATGTCACCCAATGTCCTGCCAATTTTGTAGTAGATTGTAAACAACATGTGATAGAGTACCTCGTGATGTTTTGAGTTATCTGAGGTATGAACGGTAAAATTAAAATTGATCCATAAGAACTTGCCGTCTTCATGTTTGAGCTGGGGTGCAAACGTTCTTCGTTAAGGGTCCTCCTTCAGTAACCATTCTTTAGAAACGCTTGTGAAGATACAGAATTCTGCCTTTAAACCAGAAGTGATAGTGCAGATCTCGTGGGCTCGCAAATGCATGGGTTATTCGCCACATTCCTAAGTACTCCTGGAGGGACACATGACGACTGGTCTAGGTATCGATTGGAGTGTGTTGGTTTCCAATATACGGAAACCTCAAATTCAAAAGTTGAAGTCCTCTTCACCAACACATCCAAAAAGGACATAGAGTGGCTAATTTCGACCTCAATAGTAATGTGTATTCGGCCATTTTTATTTTGTCCATTCATGTAACTCACGAAACATTCCAACCTCTTCAGTTCATCCTCATTTCTCTGAAATAATAGGAAAATATCATCAACGAAACGGACACAGAACAGTGGTCGAAATTCTGACGTGCATTCCTTAAGGGCTTTCGCCCCCAGGTGGTCAATATGAAAATCAGCTAGAACAGCACTCACTAGGGAGCCCATCGGAACGCCGTACTTCTGTTGTTAGGCAGTGTTCGCGAATTAGAAACTGGCACCATTCATCACAAGGTCAGTGATGTCATTAAATCATCCATGCTGCAATTCCTTAACAGGCTTTCAGATGCCCTCCACTTGTCCATTGGGTTTTTCAAGATGTCGGGTAGAATATTATCCAGCGTGTAAGAATTCGCATTATTGAAAATGGCGTATAGCGAAGCCATGAAGCAATTAGTGGTTCAGCTTCGGCAGTAATCACCGTGTAATCAGAATATTGGCTGCTGCAAATCGCAAAATCGAAACGAGATTTTGATCGAGAAGTAGTCGAAATCATAGAAAGCGGTGAACTGTGCCTGAGGTACTTTCTGAAAAAATTTCTAGAAGTGTACTAATGTGCAACAATAATCTGAATGGTGAATACAACATTTTTATCAAATGATAGAAGAGCATGAATAAGCCATAAATGGCAGAAATCACAAAGTAATTACGTCACGTTAGCAATTAAAAAACTGCCTCAGGAAACAAGCTGAACAAAGCCTGTACGAATTTAAAGTCGTTTTTCTTTTTTCCCGTAAACGGCTCAGGATCATTCAGGAGAAGCTGGGCGATGATAAACGTCATGAGATCAGGTTTTGTATATATCATTCTTCCATTAAGGTGCGCCGTTGCAAATTCACTTTTTCGACAATATTCTGTTATGCTAGTCAACCATGTTTTGTTGCTTTACTGTATAACTATCAATGCGTAAATAAATTCAACTCAAAACAAATACAGGTTATTTTTTCTAATTAAGCAAGTTGGAATGCTTAGTGTTAAATATGTTAATTTGATAAATATTATCTTCGATAATTCTTTTGCAACTGATGTAAATAAATTGTAACCCACTGTTTAAGACGTTAGTTTGAATTATCCAGTGACAATATTTCGACTGGACGTTAGTCTGACACAGAGTTAGAGTCTACACGTGTGGATTAATTTTAATCTTTCTCGCAATGCTGCTCTCTATTGCTGATATTAAAGGGTTTACACGAAAATACTTTAGATCGACAACTCGAGAAATTGGTTGCAGTATGTTCCGGTTTTGAGTGACGAAGGACAATACAATCTGCTGTGTGTGGCAGAAAACGATACTGTATTTTTTGAGGCAATTCGGGAAATCAGAGAGGGCGAAAGTCTCGTTGCGAAGTTGAAGACTACTAACGGGATATGTTGTCCGGCGCAACCGATTAAGGCGGAAGGACAAGACGAAAGTGCGATTCCCAAAGAACTTGAATTGTCAGTATCACTGTCGAGGGACAGACCAACCGAGTACAGATGCGAAGGTGAAGGTAGTGTGCAGCGCTTTACTTACTGTAACGGTTAAATGTCTGCTCAGTTCTACTCTTGGCCATGTCATCGCTGTTATAACCCGATATACATCAGTCGATGACGCGTAGGAGCGATCGCGGATTCGCATAATGAATAATCATCTCGTCTTTAATCCTTCAAAGGCAGAGGAACGACTACTGCCGTGTAAGAAGTTAAAAGAGCACTGCATATTGCAGTGGCCATTACACGCTACGTCCAGCAATATAGCTCTACTTGGTTGGCATGGTCATGGACATGGAAATCGTGAAAGTTTATGAAAAAGCAGCACACCAGTGACTACAAACTCATTTTT